AGTCCTGGGGCGGGGTGGCTGTGGGCCTGCCTGGCCAAGCAGCACTGGTCTCTGCTTTCTCAGCAGCCTGGGCACAACAGAGTCCATCATCGACGGTGAATGGGACTGTTCATGGTGTGGTGTATCTCAGTCCCAGCGTGCAAAACCAGACGTCCTACCCCCGAATGCACTGGCGGCACAACGACTTGACCAAGATTGCCATCCGGGAGGGCGGGCAGCATGTCGAGTACCCCAGCAACATCTACAAGGGACGCCTGGAGCTCTTCTCCAACAACACCTTAAAAATCAGCAACTTGCAGAAAAGCGACAGCGGCAGGTACTACGTGTACCTGGAGGATGAGAAGGGCAATGAACACATTGAAAACATCCTCCTGAAGGTGTACGGTGAGCTGAGAGGACGGGAGGCTTGTCCCAGTGCCCTGCGGGGGGACGGGGGTGCTGTGACATCCTGCTGCCTCTTGCAGATCTGGTCCCGAAGCCCACTGTGAGCGCCAAAGTGGTCAAGAAAGACCTGCAAGGGTGCAAAACCATCCTGAAGTGCTCAGTGGAGGTCGAAGATGTGACCTACGAGTGGATCAGCCCCCAAAAGCTCCTGCTGGAGCATGTGCATGCCTCTGAGCTGTCTGTCTCCAGCCCCTTGACAGGAACCTACACGTGCAAAGTCAGCAACCCTGTCTCCTCCAACAGCGCCTTGCTGCTCTACAAGCAACCCTGCTCCTGGACAGGTACTGCCTGCAGTGCACGCATGAGATGGCAAAACTTGGGAGGGATGGGCTACAAGGTGGCCTTGGCTTTGAAGGGTCCCCAGAGCAGCGGTGGTGACCCTGAGGTCAGCGGGTCCAGCAAGGCTGGAGGTGGTCCATGGGTCAGGAGTGGTGGGTCCCTTTTCCCCCTGCTCTGTGGGTTGGTGGGTGGCAGGAGCCCACCTGGCGAAGGGGTCGGGGGTCCCCTACCAGGGCTGGGCAGCCCACAGCCCTCCCCAAACCCCAGGTCTCCCTCTGCTTCCAGGTGAGTCCTCTGCTGCTGCATCCTGTGCCACCACCAGCGTGCTGGTGGCCCTGGGACACCTCCTTCTCCTCTTCTTCCTCTGCTGTTGACATCTTGTCTCGTCACCACCTGCCATGGGACCAGTGCCTGGATGAGGCCCCCAAACCAGCTGGATGCAGAAAGATGCAGTTGCTCAAGGGAAACATTACAAAGAAAAAACGTGTAAACATGGCACTTTGGGCCATGGTTTAGTGGGCATGGGGGTGT